CCCCCGTGGGAGAACCCTCCAAAACATCGTCCCCAGACCCCCCCAGGCCCTCCAAGATAGCCTGGAAGAGACCCCCCCCGATATGAGACCCCCCTCCCTTTATTACGAAATCTGGGGTACTCCTCCCCTGGAGGGACATGCCCGACGTCGGTGCAGCCCTCGCCGGCCGAGCTCCTGCAGGGGGCGGAGCCAGGCGCGCAGGCGCGCCGCGAGGGTGGGCTGCGCGGGCGCGCCGGAGGCCGCGGCCCGCTCCGGGCCCAGCGGCACGGACGCGAGCTCCTCCAGGGGCAGCGCCAGGGGGAGGGCTCTGTGCTTCTGTCTCGGGTCGGGCGAAAGGGGGGGATAGCAAAGGGGGGGTTTGAGAATCAGCTTACGTAGCTGATTTTCCCGGCGCCTCCCGGCGCCGGAGGCGGCTATGTATCGAGGAATGGGCCCCTCGGTGAGTCCGAAACCAGCTGCATGCAGCAAATTTCGTAACCCCCCCTTTCCCAATCCCCCCCTTTCGCCCGACCCGACTGTCGTCGCCACAGCGGGTCTTTTTGGCGAGGGGGAAGATGGTCGAGGTCTTCGGGTTCACTCGAACACAACCCCCCCGAAGAACAGGGCGATCACCCAGAACAAGTCCGAAGCAATGCCAGATCTTGGATGACAGCACCGGAACTCCACTGCTGCTTCGAGCACGCCAAACCACTGGCATCAACGCGGCCAAGGCCCTTTCCGACAGGGGGGAAGGGCAAGAGACGCGGACAGCCGATGAAGAAAAAGAGGGGAATGGAGAGAGAGAGAGAGAGAGAGAGACGGGGCAGCGCCAGGAGGGGGGCAAGTGCACTCGGCGGCGAGCCCTGGGGGGGACGTTTGGGGAGCTGCGGGCTCGAGGCTCGAGGCTCTCGGGCGGTCTCGGCGCTTCGGGAGGTCTCGAGCTCTCGAGGCTCGAGGCTCTCGAGTTTCGAGCCTCCCGCCGGTGTTCCAGCCTCGGGAGGCGCTCCAGCGGCTGCGCCTCGCCGAGGGCATCCTGGGGGTGCCTGGATCGCCCCAGACGGCCACTGGCGAGCCGAGTTACGACCGAAGAACGACAAGGCGTCCAAGAAGGAGACGGCCTTCTCAGAAGGCTCGGAAGCCCCCTGGCCTTCTGAGAAGTTTCCTTACCTTTCCTCGAAGACACAGGAAACCTCTCAGGAGGTGCGGGGGCTTCTGAGAAGTCCCGCCGCCTTCTGAGAAGGCCTTCGTCGCACTTCACCCCCTCGCTCGCCGCCGACGATAAGGATGCAAGGGCCTTGAAAGGCCATGTCGACATGTTGCGAGCGGAGCGCGGCCAGCGAAAGCGGCCAAGGATGGGCCGAAGGGGAAGAAAGCAAGGAGGACCTTGGAAAGTTGCTCATCCTACCTATGCGGGTTGGCTGTAAGTTGGAAGCAGCTCTTGGGAGGTCTTTGTCATCACGATTAGGGGCGCTCAAGCCCCATTAAGATGTCGCTTAACCACATTCAACCTGATTGAGCCCAGGATCAAGCGGAAATAAACCAGATTAGGCCGGATTGAGCGGGATTGCGCTGGACGAAAACGGATTAGACTTTTTCGACCGAGCCTAGAAGAGCACCAAATCAGAATCTAACTTCCCAGGAGTTGAATATCTGGATAAGGGGAGGACCAGCTGAAGGGGGGAACATCCAGCTGGAATCGGCGACACATCGCCGATAGATCCGCGATAGGACCCGCATCGCAAAGCCCCATGTTCCTGGGCGGGGTGGGATATGGGGCCCCTCTCGGCGATGAATGAGCGATGGCAGGGCGATGCACCCTGCCCATGACCGTGCCCTCTCCATACCCGGTCTCTGGGCCGAAACTGGCTCAAAAAAGGCGACCGCCTACCAAGCTCGCACCAGTCAGTGCCTCGGTTGCTTCATCCGTTATACTTGTACCTTCCATGCCTTGAGAAGAACATTCGACGCACCCCCCCTTCGCCTGACGGGCCGATGTTCCACCACCACTACCACAGGTAGGAGAGAGAGAGAGAGAGAGAGAAGAGGAGGAGTGGGAGGGGGAGGGGGAGGGGGAGGAGGAGGAGGAGGAGGA